CAAATCAGGAAGGGTGGTATGAAAAGGTGGTGTAAAGCTCCTATTCCCACTCCCTTGATCCTGGGGGATTTTTCACCCCTGCAGTCCTCCTGTAGTAAAGCATCCTGAAGGTTGCGCTAACTCACTTAGACCTGCCATGGCCATAATGGGCTGTAAATGCCACCCAGAGTTGGCAGAGCAGCATGGTACATTGTGTCCAGACAAGGCCTTCTGCTTTCAGCACAGCCAGTAGCAGGAAGAAGATGAGGCTTACTCATGTCTATGATGCCACACCCTTACTGTGAGGCAGTCTTTCTTGGGGCATTTAGGCAGCACTTGTAGCTCAAAAACCCCAGCATTGCAGTACAAACCAGCTGCACAGCACCCAGGGATCTATTCCCATATTACCTACTCACTCCAGATGGTCCCTTGTTGCTCTGTCCTCTGGGCTATTGGCCACACCTCCCAATATGGTATTCTCGGCAGACTTAATTAGCATGGTGCTAGTTTCTCTCTATCCAGTTGAGAAAAGAAGTTAGGGTATTTCTGGACAGAGATGTCAGGGTTTAGTTTTTCCTATAGTCAGTCCTTCTAAACACTCTTCTTCCCTTACTGAAACCTGTGCATACACAGGACACATGTTGAAGTTGAGATATGGAAAATGCATCCAAAACAACAGCTTTCTGCATGTTCTGAACATTGATGGCCACATCCAAGCCAAGGGGTTTGCCCTTCAGTATGTTCTGGGCAGAGTTCCCAAGGTGCCTGGGACAATTGCCTTCAGCCTTTCCTCTCCATGTTTTCATTCTTAGTTTCTCATATTTGGAGAATGGATCTTCCTTTTCTGCCAGATGTTTACCCCACTGCTAAGCCAATGCATGAGAGCTTTTTGCACCCATGGTCCTGATGCCTTCTGAAAACCAGGGGAATGTCTGGTTTGCTGGGTCCGCCAGTCTATCCAGCTGTAGGTTTCTGGCTTCCACCTGTCAAACTATTTATAACATCATCTCAGCAGCATCCTCATCATCAACCGCATTATTACTGCTGCTACTCCTACCTTTGTGACTAATGGTTGCACAGGACCCTTTATTGCTAAATGCTACACACACAGAATGCAAAGAGATCTCCACCCCAAAGAGCTTACAATCTTCTTGTAAGATGAGTTGCAGCAGGTGGAATCAGGTTGGGGGATACAAGGGTGTAGTCACAGTCATGCCTGGTGTAGTAAGCTGGGGTCACACAGCTCCAGCTGAAGTAAGTGTGAGCTGCAGGTACTCAACGTCTTTGAAAAATCAGTTCCAGGATGTTGGGCACCCAAGACTTCCAAATTTCAGCCTTGGGCTCCTGCCTGAGGCTGTGCAGTGAGTTGGCAAGAGAGCTGGATTTACAAGACCTGGCTCCAGGACATGGGCTAAACCCAGCAGGGACACTTGTGCTCTCTTCTGCCTAAGTCTCAGCACTGCCCATTTCCCTTGTGTTCTTCCCCTTCCTGTATTTGTCTGCTGTTCATCCATCTCTTCCCCTGGGACATGGTCTATTCCCATCTTATAGTGGGGGTTTGTGTCAGAGACGCAAACCTGGCTTGCTTCTTGTGTAGCTGGGGTTCCCTGAGACCCTCCATTATTCTGTTGGCTTTTTGCAGTACTTTATCCACAAAATAACAGCACCAATGAGAGCTGGCTCTCATTTTCTCAGGCCCGTGTTCAGGGCTAGAAATAGGGCTCATTTGTTTTTGATTGCCATTAAAGTTGAATGAAGATCCTACCATCCCATTTAGTGTCCAAGACACTGTCTCCTTGCACAATGTGACGTACCCCTAAAAATGATCTGATCTGGATCTGTGCCTTGTTTGCTGGTCCAGGATGCCATTTAATCACATAGTCACTAGTAGAGAGCATATGGTCTTGTGGTTAAATAGGTGAACTGGACTTCTGAGTTCTACTCTTAGCTCTGTCATAGACAGGCTGTGTGACTGTGAACAAGTCAATAAGCCTGTTGAGGTATAAATGGGTAGGAAGCTGCACCTTGTGATCTAGTGTCAATAAAATGTTCACGTAGTACCTTGTGTCCAGATGCCTACAAGGATGCTAGTGATTTCCCTATTTCTCAGAAGCCTCACACTCTCCAACCCTCTCTTCTTGCTCCTTTTCATGCTTATACTAGGGCTCTAGAAAACAGAGCCAGCCAAAAGCCGCCCTCTCACCCTGATGCTGAGAGGGTGGATATGCTTGATTGAACATTCTCACTTTTTTGTTCCTGTCTAATTCTAGTAGGATCCAGCAACCTGTCAAAATGCAGTGAGTCATGCTCCTGTCAGAAAGAGGAAATACCAAGAGCTTCCTGGCAGAGGCCCAGCTCCTGACCCAGCTTTGCATATCCAAGCACTTCCACAAACAAAAGCCAAGCATTCAGGTGCTTTTTCAAAGACAAGACTAAGCCCCACACCTTTTGATGGCTTTCAGGAAAGACAAGTAAGGCAGGATTTAAAACACAGGAAAATCTTTTCTGAATAGTTTGAGCCAGACCTTGGCCTCTGAGAAGTGCTTAAGAAGATCACCAGGGAGTCCAACATGGTGTTTTCCTGTCAGCAAACCAAATACAGACCAGAAGCAAAGCCCCAGGTCCAAACACCTCCCTTCCTTCCTCTCTTCACCATTTTTGGAAAGTCCAAGTTGGAGCTTTGTGGCCGAGGGGGACATCTCTATAAACATTGCTCATCATCTTGTGTTATTTTCTGCTAGAGGCTTACCTTGCCTCTTGATGTCTCCCTCTTCCAGCAGATTTCTGATTTTACCCTAGTGGCATGAATCTTCACATTGATGCAGATGCAGGAGAAAGTGACTGGAAGCTTACCTTCAGGAGTGGATGGGGCAGCCAATAGAGAAATTTGAAGAGGGGAGAGATGTGATCAGCTCAACAGACAAGGAAGATAACTGTTGTGGTGGTGTCTTGTAGAGAGCTGAGTGAGATGTATTTTACAAGCCAGAGGAGAAAGTTATATCAACTGAGGCAGAACCTGAGCCTGAAAACAGATTTGGCTGTGAGGCTGGAAAGAAAAAGATCTTTGAAATACTGAGGAAGCAGTATTGAGAGACTAATAGCTTAGCCATTGATCAGTTTGAACTAAAGACCAGCATGAAAACACATGGGCGTGTCTCAAATCCAGCAAATCTTTTAAAATGTGCAGGATAACTACACTTGTCATTCTTTATCTTAATAACTGCTAGCACAATGCACTTTGCTGGCATTCAAGGCAGGGTTGGTTAAAGGCAAGTTAACTGGCTGTTAGGCATTACCAAACCAACGCATGATTCCTGCTCATTCACATCTGCGGAGATCAGTGAATTTTTACTAAGGAGGAAGTTTCCCACAGGGGATATTGGGAGGTGAAGTTTACCTTCCTCCAGAACACTGAGCAAACATAAATTATTTTGATGTATGTGAGTGCAGTCTCCATTATCTTTAGGCTGATGATTGCATAAGTGGAAAGGTAGGATAGCAAAGGACCTTGCTTCTTTTGTCAAAGTATTCAGCTCTTCCTTCTTTCATAGTTGTTTGTTTTTCAAGTGCAGGTCTAGGTTGCAGTTCTCAGCTAATTCCCAACACTCAAATGAGAAGATACCAGTCTAGCTTTAGGGCCAGTTGCTCCAGGACTAAATTAAATTGGCAGGATGATGGTTTGGGACAGAAATGTTCACAAACAGATAGTGATGTATGCCTGAGAGAAAGAAGGGCATTTTTATCCTAATGTTTCTATTTCCCTTATGAATGGCATTCCACTTGGCTAATTCCTTAGCAAGCCCTGGGCAAAAGGCAGGAGGGGAAAAAAAATCAAATTGGTAACTTTTCTGATCTTATCCATCAATAAGCTCTTTTGTGCAAGACTTGGAAGTGATTGTTGGGTTTAGAATTACCTACTGTGATGGATCAAAGGGCTGAGCAGAAGGGAGGATTCAGAGGCAGGGACAGAGCAGGTTGAAATAGTTTGGGGTTTATGAAGAAGCTGAAATATAGGGCTTGGTTGGACAGCCATTTCTCCCAGTTTTCCCCTGCTGGGGTATTTAAAAGATGTTGAGAGAAAATGAGCCTGTGTCTGCTTTATTTCCTTTGATAGTTTAAAAACAACTGCCAGATTCTGTCGCAGATAACATGGATACTATGTTGTGTGCTGAGATGTGCTGGAGTGGGACAGGCAATAGGCATAAATATCAGATAAGATTAAGTGCTAAAGCGATAGATAGTTTCCAGAGTAACAATGTGGGAAAAGATCATCTCCCACAGGGTATAAATGCACAAGAGGCTTAATGACGGATAACAGGATAGAATTAATGAAGAAGAGACTTTATCCTGATTATCAGAAGAGCAAGGCCTGTCAGACTATGGAATCATTGCATGGGGCAGTATTGGAAATGACAATTCTTTCTTCTTCCGGAGCAGGTTAAACAAATACCTGAGCAGGGCAGACAAACATTTGTCTGGAATGGATTAGGTAGGGTCGATCCTGCCTTAAGGTTGGGGAATGGATTGGATCACCTGTCTCAAAGTTCTCTTCCATCCCTATTTTCTATGGTTCCTGTACCACAGTATATGAAAATACAACATGCTAATAAATATAACCTTTTTAATGCCCTTACTAGGGAGGGCTGCATTGTTATTATAATTCTTGCCTTTCACACGAGGAGCTAAATTGACTTTTCCTGTCACCCAGGAAGTATGCGACACTGCTGGGATTAGAACTGATTTATTTGGAGTCCCAGTGCGCTGTGGTAACTGCAAGACCAGCCTTCCTATTTCAGCAATTATCATAATTATTTAAAACTAGATTAGAGGGTATATATAAAGGATTCAGTGAGACCTCATGTGTCATTTCCTGCCTAATTCCTATAATTATGGATCTTGGCAAGTTTCTGTCTTGCCTGTATAAACTGTGAAAGAGGGTGTTCTCTTCTGTCGAACCAACAGAGGCTCTGCACCTGGGCAACTCACTTTTTTTTTTCTTTTTCCCCTCTTTTTTTGTCCAGGTATCATTTGTTTTGTGGTGAGTGCCTTGGGGGTAACCGCTGGAGCGCACCGCCTCTGGAGTCATCGGTCCTACAAAGCAACTTGGCCCCTCAGAGTCTTCCTGGCTATTTCCAACTCCATGGCCTTCCAGGTAAGACTCTCTCGCATGTTGCCAGCCTTTAGAAAGAATCATTGGAGCCCAAAGCTGTAGACACGCATACAATAGGGCAGCATCTTAAAAGCAGGTGCTTTTCTCATATTGGATCACCTGATCCAAAACACAAGTCATACTTTACTGGAATAAGAAAGTGCTTAGACTGTTGTCACAAAAGATGCTGTGAGTGGTGCTCTATCACGGGTAGAAAGCAAAGGAAGACCTGTGGCTCAGGACAAGAATTTTATGGGATCTGACTGTTTTTTCTCTTTACCCAGTTACTGGTTGTGTTTGAGGCACTGCATTGTGTATCCTAACCAAATGGACTCTTGTTCATCAAGACTTGGAGTGCTGTAATAGAGCAGGTTAAAAAAAAACTGTGTTTCTGAATTGTTCAACTTTTGAAGATTAAAAAAATTCCTATTCCTCATCTGGATGAAACCAAAGCCTTTCTAAATTTTCTCAAAAAACCAAGAGGAAGCAATACCCAAGGATAACTAGTAACTTGGTTAGGACATTCACCTGATCGATTGGGTTGATGTCTCTGCTGTTGTTCTCCAGCATTTTAGGTGAGTGCCTTGACCACCAGGCTATTCTGAAGTAGGTTTCTCCCAGTCTCTCCTGTTAGAGCTGCCCCACTTTAAATCAACAGTCAAATATTCTTTGAAGAAGAGACTTGAACATTATGACACAGGTGAGTGTCTTCCACAGTACAGGCAAATGCTCTAACCACTAGACCATCTTGGAGTAGGTCTCTCTCCACTCCAGAAATTCCATTTTGGACCTGAGAACTTCCCTGACAAACTTTTTGTCAAAACTGGGTACTCTCCAAGAAAATTTTCAGTTTCAAGAAATCAGCTTTTTCCAAAAAAAAAAATAGTAGTTTCCTGGCAGCTTTGATTGTAATGAATTTTTCTGAACAATGTCAACAAGCATTGTTCTCCCATGTTTTGCCTCCCACTGAGTAATTTGTTGTGGGGTTCTCTTACATCTCATCTCGAGCAGTTTGTTCTGGTGCCACACTTGGAGATGAGTCAGTGGATTAGCTGAACATTGGGTGCGGTCTAATTTGGTAATTCCGATGTGCCCAGGAAGCAGCTAATTAAGTCTGAGTACCAATGGACATTAGATTTGGTGTTTTCTGGTGCAAGATGGTTTCTCAAGGGGGTGAGGAAAGATTAGGGAAATCACATGGGATGGAAGAGACAGATTCCAGTCCCTGCTGTCTGGATTGCTTAGACATTAGTTGGGTAAAACCTGGAAGTAATCCTGAAGACAAAGACAGACACCCAAAAACTCCCCCTTCCCAGCTGAGTGCCTTAACCTTTAAGTTACAGATAGGGCTCCATCTTTGTCTTTGATATTTCTCTGGCCTCATGGACCCAATGATCTCACGAGGCCCCTCCCAGCCCTAAACTTCTGTGAATCTGTGACTGCTTTGTGTCTGCACAGTGGCTTAACTTGAGGAGGATAGGTGAGGGGTGCCCCTACCCAAACTCTGCTGGTGGTTTAGGCCTGCTCTTAGAAAGTTTGAACCCGGTCAGGCTGTGGAGGACCTTGAAGTCCAGGTCACTCATATTCTGGTCAAGTGTTCTCATTCTTAAGTTATTATGCAAAATATGGGTGACAGCAGAGGCATCTTTACTGGCACTCAGTAAGTGCCTTCCCTTTGGAGCAGACTTGGTGCTCTGCATCCTGAGGGACCTAGAGGTGCCTAAGGTATGAGCCTGACTCAAGCATCTGAGCTCCAAGGCAGGGCCTGAGTTGGGAGACATTCATAGACTCAGTGTTCCCTACTGACTAGCCTGAAGCAGCTCCCCACCCAGCATCCAGGCTCTCTGAGTTGCCCTTAAGGGGCACCCAGTTCTTCCCATTGATATAGGGAGCCAGAGAACTGAAGCCTGTTTCTTTGAATCGCCCTCCTACTGCAAGGGTCCTAACTTTTTAGGAACTGCAACACCTCAGTGGAGGCACCTAAGAAATCAGTATGGACTCTACCTGCCTTTTCTCTTTATCACACTTTTCCCATCTCTAAAATAGGAATGATAATGCTGCATACCTAATTTGTAGGGGGTATTGAGGAAAAATCCCATGTACATATGAGGCTAAGGATATTGCAGTGATGGTTGCCATAAATGTGCCTGAATAATGCTATTGTTATCCATCTGTAGGATGGGAGGATATTTACCTAGCTTTTCAAAGTACTTTGAGATCTTTTTATAAAGTCAGTAATGTAAATACAGATATTTTTATTATTATGATTAGTTTGGAAAAAATATACCTTACTTAATAAAGTTATTAATATTTTAACATTTTCCAAGCTGGTTTTGTTCTGATTTATGTTCAACAGAATTTTCTTTCTATGAAGGTGGTATTTCATTTTTAATAATTCTCAGAATTATTTATTTCCATTCCCAAACCAAAATCTTTCATTTTTGAACATGTTTGTTGCCTAGCACACACATGCCACTGTCTGCTTAAACTGACCAGTCAGGTTTGGAAATGCAGAGGAGAAAAAGGAAATCAAGGCCTGAAGTGGATTGATTTAAAAGATGAGGTTGAAAAAGGGAATCAACATAAAGGAAAAAATCAAAATGTTTAAAGCAAAAATGTGTCTCTTCTTGAACTGGAGCCAAGTTTGTTTGTTTTTTGGGGGTGGTTGTTGTTGTTGTTGTTGTTGTTGTTGTTGTTGCTTTGAAGTAAATGATGTGAACTTTGAAATCAGTTGGATCTAGATGCCTGATCTGTGTAGGCAGCTTTGTAAATCCCACTAGATGTCTATCTGTAGACATAGAAATGCTTTAAGCAAATTTGGCCCTAACTCTGTGCATTGCTGATTTTGTAAGTCTTCTGCCCACATTCATTCCAGAATGACATCTACGAGTGGGCCCGAGATCACCGTGTTCACCACAAGTTTTCTGAGACAGACGCAGACCCTCACAATGCCAGCCGTGGCTTCTTCTTCTCCCACATTGGCTGGCTGCTAGTGCGCAAACATCCTGATGTCATTGAAAAGGGCAAGAAACTAGACCTGTCTGACCTGAGGGCTGACAAAGTGGTTATGTTCCAGAGGAGGTGAGCTGTGGGGTGCTTGTGCAGTGAAGGGGGAGGCTTAGCTTTCCTACTCTACTCAGATATGCTGGGAGCCAAAGGGACTCAGACCCATCATGTGTCGTTATAAGCCAAAACCAGCCTTCACTGGAATCCCCTATAGCAGGGGAGTCAAACTCACCCAGGCCCTTGGGCCAGATCTGGACTGTAGGACTCCTCACAGGCTATATTCAACCTAGGGCATGGGGTTGGCCACTGTGGCCACTATGGCAGCAGTGGCAGGTCTGGTAGTAGAGAGGGGTCTGTAGGCATTGAAGGGTCTGGTGGCAATAGCAGCAAGAAGTCTGAGGGCAGGGGTCTGCTAGCAGCAGGAGGGGATCTGCCAGTGGTGGCAGTAATCTTGGGGGCAGTGATGGCAGAGAGCCAAGCTCGCCACCCATGGCAATGGCCAGCGGGGGCCAAAGGGTCCAGAGTTCTGAAGCGGGCCCTGCTCCGCTACTTCCATAGTGGACCAGATAGAGCAACTATGTGGGCCCCACATTTGACACATCTACACATATGAAACTATATAATCAGCTTTCAAAAGCATGCGTTTCAGCAGGGGTCAGCAATGTACCCAGTAGTGGAGGGGTATGTAGTGGGGTGTGGAACGACCCAACTTTGGTAAGATGTGGGCAAAGTTTAGGACTTGGCTGCTTCTCCCTGCTACCCAGCTTTAGTGCAGCACAGAAAGAGCTCTCTCTTCCCCAGAGCCTCTGCCACCTAATTTACAGCATGGCGCAGGTAGAGCACCTCTCGGCTGAAGTGCCAGACACCCAGCTGTGGCACTGTGCAGAGATCCTCGTCTGCCGAAGTCTCAGGCACCCAGCTGCAGTACAGCACAGGCAGAGCCCCTCCACCTTCAAATGCTGCTGAAGCTGCATATCCATGGGCCAGATCAAAATGCTTTGCAGGCTAGATCTGGCTGGTGGGCTATAGGTTGCTGACCTTTGTGTTTGCAATACCTGGTCCCTACTTTGTGAATCTGTGCAGAAGTCCATGATGGAAAGTTTCCATCTAACTGCAGTTGAATATATACATAAATACATTAAACCTTCTTTTTTGGAGGGAGAAGGGAAGGGCTGTAAAGTCAGCTCAGGACAGACTGGGTACACCACGGCTGCAGTGCAGTTGCTTCCCTGCCACTATTGTCTCTACAGCCTGCCAGGGATGCAGTCTTACCCTGGGCCTAGGACAGACACTAGACAGCTAGGCCTAAATTCCAGCATCCTTTTTCTTGTACACCTTCTTGTATACCTACATTCCCATGCCATCTACCACTTGGGGCCCTGGCCTCTTCCTCTGGGCCCAATTTCTCCCCCTAATTTTATGCACCCACTCCCTGACTTGTTTGTTTGTTTTTGTTTGTTTGTTTGTTTGTTTGTCTTCCCCTGGTGCAGGGAAAATAGTGGGGTCAAAGGTAGAATATTTCTGTGTTTAACTTTCTTAGTGTCATTGCAATTAGCATTTCTCCTCCCTTCCTAAATACTGACCCTTGTGTGGATTTGGCCTGTTCAGAACCCTTACACCTTCCCCTAGTGAACCCTCCTTCCCACTCACTGTCTCCCTCCCTTCTCTTTCTTGGCAGGTACTACAAGCCTTCAGTGGTGATCATGTGCTTCTTGGTGCCCACCATAGTACCCTGGTATTTCTGGGGGGAATCCTTGGTCATCAGCTACTTCATTCCTGCTATCCTGCGCTACGCTGTAGTGCTCAATGCCGCCTGGTTAGTCAACAGTGCGGCCCATATGTTTGGCAACCGGCCCTATGATCAAAACATCAACCCGCGGGAGAATCACTTTGTCGTCTTGGGAGCCTTAGGTGAATATGTGATGCCTTTTTAGATTCTGAAGCACCTGAAAAACTGACTAATACAATTAAAACCTGCTTCATTCACTGCTGAAATGTAGCTGTTTCTGGAGTGCAACGCAGGAGCTGCTTTATGGGATTCAGTAATAGTGTATGAGTTTGGGAGAAGATGGGAAGGGGAACATTGTATCCAATTATAAACCTAAAGAAATGGAGTTTTGGGCTGTGGGAAGTGACCAGTTACAATAGGCCAGATTCTCAGCTGATTTAGAGTAGTATAACTGCATAGAAGTCAGTGGAACTGTACTGAGTAATCCCAGCTTACTCCACCTCTGATTGCCACCCCTTATACAACAGCTGATTTCCATGCCAACCTGATTGATGGAGATGCTTCTGCCCTGTTGCTCTCTGATGCCTTCACTTGCTTGGAATCTGTCACCAGAGCATCTTTGCTAACACCATCAGTAGTGGGATAGTGGGGATGCTGAAGTGGAGAGCATCCACACCATAGCATTTTCTGACCCTACTCAGAGTATGGAGTAGAGAGCATAGTGCCAAAATTGCTTGAACCCAGATTTCACTGGTGCTTCCACTAATGGAAATGTGCTGGGGAGAGGCCAAAAGCTGGGAGATTTCCCTGAAAACCCTCAGTGTAGGCAACTCCATAGTATACATGGCACTAACTTAACACAGAGCTGGGTTTTGTTCCCAGCAAAGTCCAAAAGAAGATCCCCCATGGATTTTGGTGGACAACAAGCCTATGGACTTCAGTGGGTGGAGGCTGGGGCTTGTAGTGGAAAGAGTCAAGGAAAGCACAATGTGTTTTTCAACAGAGATTTTGGGGGCACAATGCTTTGAGGGAATTCAAAGCCTGGTTTGGATGTTTGCAATGTCTCTTTCCTGATATTCTATTTCAGGAGAAGGGTTCCACAATTACCACCACACCTTCCCCTTTGACTATTCCGCGAGTGAATTTGGCTGGCACTACAACTTTACAACAGCCTTTATCGATCTTATGTGCTTCCTGGGTCTGGCCAGCGACTGCAAGATGGTGTCCAAGGAAGTCATCCTGGCTCGGAAGATTCGGACTGGAGATGGGAGCCACAAGACTGGCTGACTGCCCATTTCTCTCCTGCCACTTTTCTTCCCTCCTTTATTTCCCCCCTAAATGAGCTGGACAAAGGTTTAATGTTCTGTTTTACTAACTACTGAATAATGCTACCAGGTTGCTTATGATGATGATAATGATTTTAACCCACTCCCACACTGTGTTTTCAATTATGTATTTTAAGACCTATAACTTTGCTTTTTATAATGCTAAACCACCTCTCTCCCTCTTCTTTCTTCTTTTGTCTGTCTCTAATAAGATCTCTCTTTTCCTTTCCCCCTCTGACTCTTCCATCCTTTAATTTTTTGTGTATCCCTGGCAGTGAGCTGATAGAAAGTAGCCTAGGGAATATCATGTAAGCTGGCTGTGTAGCATGAGTTGCAAGAGATCTGTACCAACCAGCTAAAGACTTGAGCCAAAGTCAGTGACTCTCTTTTCCCAAAAACTCTCCCTCTCCAGCCTCTGTTTCTCTGACCTTCTCATGGCTGTTGACTCTTGGTCTAATAAAGCTGCTTTCTATGGGGCATGGCAGCCCCCTCACCTTTCCTTGCTGGCACAATGTTATCTCCCAAACATTGGCCCTACTTTCATTTGAGGAAGCTGAGGGAAGTTGTGGCTGGGCCTGGAGAGGAGACCCCTTAAAGCTCTCATCTGGAGGGATGCAGGCAAGTGTACTATTTGGCTATAGAACATTGCCCAGGCCAGACTGGGGAGAGTCATCTGCCTTGCTGTAGTATCACAGTCTCTCCCCTTTCACTGGCCTGAAGCATCTCTATGCTCCACTTGCCTTGAACACACAAAAAAAGCAAATACCAGACTCCAAGCTGCCTACTTCAAAAAACTGGAGAGGGACATCTGGGGAGTAGGCAAGGGACATGTTTTTCAATGCCTTGAAATGTACTTGGCTGGGAAAGTTTTTGGAAGTTACAGAGCCAGACCACTGGTACATTTTTGCCAGGAAAAGGAACTCTTCCTAAATCAAGAGGCTGGAAGGATGCAAACCAAAGCTTCATTGCTGTTTTAAGCTGCTTTACATGTTAAAGGATCAGGGTGCAGCTGATGTGCTCACATCCCTCCAGTAACCAAGGAGGAAGCAAAAAGATACTCCAGAGAGGCAGGGGAGAGCTGTATTTATCTGTATGAGACTCACACAGTCAACTAACAAGTTCTGGATAGAAACCAACACCAAACCAGGCAGCACAGAGAGGGATAAAACAAGAGAAAGGGAAATGATATCACATTTCCAGGCCATTCCTGACCCCTTCCCCTCACAGGCCATCTAGAAAGCAAGGCAGGCTGGGAGTACTGCACTGTATCTGTAGACCAGGCATGGACTTGGGTCTGAAGAGCTTTCCTGCTTAAAAGTGCAGCAGGGTACTTTAGGGGGTTATGATCAACTCTCTCAGCTCCTCTGAAAGTGATTTGGGCACAAATTAAGAACACTGCCCATCAGATCCTGATTTCTGCTAGTGGGGGTTGGGAGGGAGCCCTGACTTTGGTGGGAAGCACTAGAGCAACTGTTGCTGACACGTGCATCTATTTGCTGAAGCATCTCCTCATTGTTAGTCATCTACACTGTTCCCATACATCTCCGAGATATGAATGTCTCTGGCAGTGTTGCTGTCTGCTGAGCCATTCTTAATCCCAGGTAGGACCTGAAAGCATGATAGGGTGTGTCCATTGTCCTCATTCCTTGTCATGGCAAGCACATTTCTCACTTCTTAATGGCATCTTATAATGGAGTCTTAAAAAACTGATTGATTAAATGCCAGTTGCGCTACCTGAGGACCTGCAACATTTGTGAACAGATGATTGAGAGGTGTGTTTAAAATCCTCCTGCATGCTATGTCCAGAACAGTTGTAGCTGTCTGGGATGGGATTGGTGTGTTGGGATCCTGTTCCCTCGGAAGGTCTTCACGAGACTGCACCCAGTTTGTTTCTGTTAGTGGTGATAGTATTTTCTGCTCAAACGCATCCAAGCAATAGTGCAGAGAGTTGCCAAGGGCTGAAGAAAATGGACAGTTCTGGATGCTTCTTGGAGGTGGGGCTGAGGACCTTAAGCCCTCTTGCATTTGGTCTGGTGTGGAGGCATGTTGCATATCCGCAAAGCAAAATTCGGAGAAGTGGGTCTTCAAGGGCAGGCTCCATTCTCTCCTCTGCATGTCTCAAAGGTGGTAGAAGCCAGTAATGTGCATAGCAAAGCCCAAATACTGGGGTCAGCAGAGAGCTCTTGCTATTATATAAAATGTTGGAATGAAGATGGCTATGACTATAATTTTATCCTACTGTATAGAAAAAAAGTCATTTAACAACCCTGGGCCAGCTTCTTCCAGGTCTAAATCCCATTGAAGTCCCTGGATTCTACACCAAGGATGAATTTGCCCATCCAGCATTTTCCCTCCCTTCACCTCAAGATCTTAACATGTTGTGTGACATAACCTAGAGCACATTCATGTGCCATGACATACTGCAGTGTCTAACCTCTTCTCAGAAATAAGCAGGCTTTTTTGATTCGGGGTTCCTTTGAAATTCCCAGATCCTTGATCAGGTCTAAATATCCTGATGTGAGATCAAAGCCAAGTAGAAGTAACCAAACTGTCCTGATGTTTGCTCAGCCACTTTGTGGGTATATTGGCAAATATCTTTGGATGCCTTAAATCTTCAATATACATTGAAGCATTGACAACTATTGTAAGATTTGGTTTTTTTTTTTTTTTTTTTTTT